GTCCATGACATATTCTGCACTATGTTTATTCAATGGACTTCATTTCATAACTGATATTTGTTCTGTCTTTTTATTTTAATTTTCTTTTTTCTTTTTATGGTCATTTCATCCTTGACCAAAGAATGACATTTACTTAGTGTACATTTGCTGTCAGATATTCTTACTCATTTAAAATCACCTTTCACTGTCTGAGTTGAATAATTCTAAGATAGGTAGTAGTGGGATTGTTTTGAAATTCAATTCTGATTAAAGGGCAGAAAGGACCATGTCAGTATAGTACAAATATATAGAGAGAGAGAGTACAAGAGAGCATAAACACTTTGATACACATAATCTATGTCCTTGATCCTGCAAACAACTGCACTATTATGGAACTTTCCTCTCCTGCAACAGCAGCATGCCCTTGACTATCTCTGATTGGTTGTTTTATGGATCTGAAGAAACAGTGTTTTACTTACCTACCATTGTACTTTTAAAATTCTATCTGGGTGCGTATAGTCGATGATAGGCATTTTCTTTTCTTAGCTATAAGTCTAAATAAATAAATAAAAATAGTCATGAAATTTCTCTGCTGGGTAGAATCATTATATGTGGCTATTTAAAAAAAAAGATGTAAATCACTTTGTCAGAGCAGCAGAAATAATTTAGCTAAGCTGCATAAAAATATGACAGGAGAATATCAGTGTACTTTTAAGCATCAACAAGATATGCTGCCACTAAATGTTGTTACATTCACTTATAACCATGGTTTTGGTTTTGGTTTGATACTGTAGTTTTAAAGCTAAGTCGCTATGGTTTTCCAATGATCTTTTTCACGTACCAAAAGAAAAAAGTGTAAAAGGACAACATAATACCACAGATAGGAGGCATGTTGAAAATGTGGTACTCAGTAGATAGCAACATTTACAGGCGGAGAACAGACTTGTATTAGAAATAATTTGGTATAAAATAATAATCCTGTTCAAAACTCAAACTGTTCCTAGTTTATGTGTGGTGTAAGCCTCTGCCAATGTGACCAACACTACATGTACTAGAAAGATTAGCACCCATTCGACTGTGAAGTTGAACACTGCAGAAACAAACTGGATGAAAAAGCAACTTGTTTCAGACCTGATCCTAGTAAATGCTGGACACTGGACTTTATCTAGCAAAGCACTTAAGCATGTACTCAATGCTTTTTTTGCCTCTGTCTTCACGAACAAGGTCAGCTCCCAGACTACTGCACTGAGCAGCACAGCATGGGGAGGAGGTGACCAGCCCTCTGTGGAGAAAGAAGTGGTTCGGGACTATTTAGAAAAACTGGACGAGCACAAGTCCATGGGGCCGGATGCGCTGCATCCGAGAGTGCTAAAGGAGTTGGCGGATGTGATTGCAGAACCATTGGCCATTATCTTTGAAAACTCATGGCAATTGGGGGAGGTCCCGGATGACTGGAAAAAGGCTAATGTAGTGCCCTTCTTTAAAAAAGGGAAAAAGGAGGATCCTGGAAACTACAGGCCAGTCAGCCTCATCTCAGTCCCTGGAAAAATCATGGAGCAGGCCCTCAAGGAATCAATTCTGAAGCACTTAGAGGAGAGGAAAGTGATCAGGAACAGTCAGCATGGATTCACCAAGGGCAACTCATGCCTGACTAATCTAATTGTCTTCTGTGACAAGATAAGTGGCTCTGTGGATGAGGGGAAAGCATTGGATGTGTTATTCCTTGACTTTAGCAAAGCTTTTGACATGGTCTCCCACAGTATTCTTGCCAGTAAGTTAAAGAAGTATGGGCGGGATGAATGGACTACAAGGTGGGTAGAAAGCTGGCTAGATTGTCAGGTTCAATGGGTAGTGATCAATGGCTCCATGTCTAGTTGGCAGCCAGTATCAAGTGGAGTGCCCCAAGGGTCGGTCCTCAGGCCAGTTTTGTTCAATATCTTCATTAATGTTCTGGAGGATGGCGGGGATTGCACCCTCAGCAAGTTTGCAGATGTCACTAAACTGGGAGGAGAGGTAGATATGCTGGAGGGTAGGCATAGGATACAGAGGGACCTAGACAAATTAGAGAATTGGGCTAAAATAAATCTGATGAGGTTCAATAAGGACAAGTGCAGAGTCCTGCATTTAGGAAGGAAGAATCTCATTCACCGCTACAGACTAGGGACCGAATGGCTCGGCAGCAGTTCTGCAGAAAAGGTCCTAGGGGTTACAGTGGACGAGAAGCTGGATATGACTCAACAGTGTGCCCTTGTTGCCAAGAAGGCCAATGGCATTTTGGGATGTATATGTAGGGGCATTGCCAGCAGATTGAGGTACATGATTGTTCCCCTCTATTCGACATTGGTGAGGCCTCATCTGGAGTACTGTGCCCAGTTTTGGGCCCCACACTACAAGAAGGATGTGGATAAATTGGAAAGCGTCCAGCGGAGGGCAACACAAACAATTAGGGGACTGGAACACATGACTTACGAGGAGAGGCTGAGGGAACTGGGATTGTTTAGTCTGCGGAAGAGAAGAATGAGGGGGGATTTGATAGCTGCTTTCAACTACCTGAAAGGGGGTTCCAAAGAGGATGGATCTAGACTGTTCTCAGTGGTTGCAGATGGCAGAACAAGGAGTAATGGTCTCAAGTTGCAGTGGGGGAGGTTTAGGTTGGATATTAGGAAAAGCTTTTTCACTAGGAGGGTGGTGAAGCACTGGAATGTGTTACCTAGGGAGGTGGTGGAATCTCCTTCCTTCGAAGTTTTTAAGGTCAGGCTTGACAAAGCCCTGGCTGGGATGATTTAGTTGAGGATTGGTCCTGCTTTGAGCAGGGGGTTGGACTAGATCACCTCCTGAGGTCCCTTCCAACCCTGGTATTCTATGATTCTATGACCTTAATTTTAAGTAGGAGAGTAGTCCCATTGGGATGAAAGGAATAGAGCCCATATTAAGTAGCAGCAAAATAGATACAACGTCAGTATTCACTGACCTAATTATTTTGACTGCAGGCATCCCAATGTGACTATATCATATATAGAAAAATACAGTACACATTTAGTTTTCATTATATATGCACATTTATATTTAGGTGATTAAATCATTTCATTTCTAAATTTTAGCACAAAATAGCCATTCAAAATACTGAAAAGTGTTTTCCCTAATAAAGGGCAGCATGATAATCCTAGTTTGAATTTTGTAAAATAAGTCCCATCTGAGTGATGTAGGACCACCCCCCCGCACACACATAGGAAAATATTTCAAAAAATAATGGATATCTTTTCTTATGGAACTGCCAAATCTCCAAAGCCCCTTTTCTGATTTTTGTCAAGTTTCCTAAAGAAATTTTATCCCAGTATAACATTATGGATGCTGTCTTCAGCTTTGATTATGAAAGGACTAGTGCCACTCCAATCTTTTGTATGCTTTTCTAATGCACTCATCACTGTGCTATCTAGTGACTGATAGCAAAGTTAAGACTTATACGGATGCATCTATAAGAGACCTAATTCCTTGATTTTGTTTCCTTCTAGGTTTTGAGGTTTCCTCCCCCTCCCCATATTTTTTTCTTTTTCTTTCCCACCCACGCCCCCTCACCCCAACTTTTGCTCTCCACTTCTTCCACTTTTACAGGGTGCGATTGCAATTTATCTTCCCTAACTCAGCTAACTACAGTATCATTTTATACTCTTTCTACCATGTATTCTGTACTGTCCTGATATTGTAAAATAACTAAAAATAAAGTGACCCCCCTCCCCCAAAATAAGTTTGATGCCTGATGTTTCACTAATTCGACTGCAGAATTTCCTAGTGTCATTCTATAATGAAAATTTGAGGCAGTTCCCTATTAATTTAATGATAACTGTATCCAGGCAATATACAACTTGATCTTCAGCCTCCGAGTTTATTTAGTTCAAAATGCAATTAGTACCAAGTTAATAGGAAACACTGTCAAATCTAAAGATTAAGGGCAAATTAATACCCTGGGATGCATAGACTCACTCACGGCAGCTGGGCAGGAATACAGGCTAACCATCTCTTGAGCAATGGTTGGAGAAGCAGATAAGATGCCTACAGCAAAATCAGAGGCAAGGAGGTGGTTTATTGTCTTTGCAGTAAGAATTAGTCCCAGTATACATTCTGTTTTAAGCAGCAGGAGTAGGGAGACACATATGATTAGAGCTGGCTCTAGACCTGGCAAGTGAATCTGCAAAATGGTTTCAAATTTAAATGTGGAAATCATGATAAAAGGAATGACATTCTGAATATGTTCTTGTACCCTGTTAATATGCTGAGTCTGAAATACAGGGACTTTAGTAGTAGGAATCAGTATGTACTGTATTACTGTGTAGCAACAGTTATAGTACAGAAAAGTGAAATATAGCACTGTACTCAATATAAAGCTTTAGAAAGAATCACGGCACAAAGCTACTCTAAACAATAGGAGAGAGGTGGATGGAGCAGGGAATCAATTTGAACCATCAATTGGCATTCAGTTAACTGCCTACTTCTGTACAAGTGATGTATAATATCTAACACTGGATAGTGCAAAAAAGAAAAAAACCCTAAAAGTATTTTCCAACCCACAAAAATGAAGCAAGGAGTGCTGGACAGCCAGTGGGATGGCAATTCAACTAAAAGGCCTGTTCAGAGAGGCTGGATGGTTGGTTCATCTGCAGCTCAGAGTGATCACTAAATCACTTTTTGGTGGTCTATGTGAAATGAGTTTTTTGGCTTCACTGATATTCCTAGTGGATAGATGTCCACATCATAAAAATCACCAATACAAGCTGGCAATGGCAATCTTGCCGGCAGCCTCGGAAAAAGAACAAGGATTTAATGGGCAAAGAAACAAAACTATCTTCCACTGATCCAGCTAGCACAATTTGTGTCAGATGGATGTATTCATGGGTGGAAGTATGTACTACTGATTCTTTTGCTGTACAGGAGGTTATGGGTGCAATTAACACAAACACAAAGGAGGTCAGTTCTCTCTAAAAACCTCAACTTAGCCCTGGTCTACACTAGGACTTTAGGTCGAATTTAGCAGCGTTAAATCGATTTAAACCTGCACCCGTCCACACAATGAAGCCCTTTATTTCGACTTAAAGGGCTCTTAAAATCGATTTCCTTACTCCACCCCTGACAAGTGGATTAGCGCTTAAATCGACGTTGCCGGCTCAAATTTGGGGTACTGTGGACACAATTCGATGGTATTGGCCTCCGGGAGCTATCCCAGAGTGCTCCATTATGACCGCTCTGGACAGCGCTCTCAACTCAGATGCACTGGCCAGGTAGACAGGAAAAGAACCGCGAACTTTTGAATCTCATTTCCTGTTTGGCCAGCGTGGCAAGCTGCAGGTGACCATGCAGAGCTCATCAGCACAGGTGACCATGATGGAGTCCCAGAATCGCAAAAGAGCTCCAGCATGGACCGAACGGGAGGTACGGGATCTGATCGCTGTTTGGGGAGAGGAATCCGTGCTATCAGAACTCCGTTCCAGTTTTCGAAATGCCAAAACCTTTCTGAAAATCTCCCAGGGCATGAAGGACAGAGGCCATAACAGGGACCCGAAGCAGTGCCGCGTGAAACTGAAGGAGCTGAGGCAAGCCTACCAGAAAACCAGAGAGGCGAACAGCCGCTCTGGGTCAGAGCCCCAAACATGCCGCTTCTATGATGAGCTGCATGCCATTTTAGGGGGTTCAGCCACCACTACCCCAGCCGTGTTGTTTGACTCCTTCAATGGAGATGGAGGCAATACGGAAGTAGGTTTTGGGGACGAAGAAGATGATGATGAGGAGGAGGTTGTAGATAGCTCACAGCAAGCAAGTGGAGAAACCGGTTTTCCCGACAGCCAGGAACTGTTTCTCACCCTAGACCTGGAGCCAGTACCCCCCGAACCCACCCAAGGCTGCCTCCTGGACACAGCAGGCGGAGAAGGGACCTCTGGTGAGTGTACCTTTTAAAATGCTATACATGGTTTAAAAGCAAGCATGTGAAAGGATTACTTTGCCCTGGCACTTGCGGTTCTCCTAGATGTAGTCCTAAAGCCTTTGCAAAAGGTTTCTGGGGAGGGCAGCCTTATTTCGTCCTTCATGGTAGGACACTTTACCACTCCAGGCCAGTAACACGTACTCGGGAATCACTGTAGAACAAAGCATTGCAGTGTATGTTTGCTGGCATTCAACCAAAATCCGTTCTTTATCTCTCTGTGTTATCCTCAGGAGAGTGAGATATAATTCATGGTCACCTGGTTGAAATAGAGTGCTTTTCTTCAGGGGACACTCAGAGGAGCCCATTCCTGCTGGGCTGTTTGCCTGTGGCTAAACAGAAATGTTCCCCGCTGTTAGCCACAGGGAGGGGAGAAGGTTGAGGGGGTAGCCACACGGTGGGAGGAGGCAAAATGCGACCTTGTAACGAAAGCACATGTGCTATGTATGTAATGTTAACAGCAAGGTTTACCCTGAAAGAGTGTAGCGACTGTTTTATAAAATGTGTCTTTTTAAATACCGCTGTCCCTTTTTTTTTCTCCACCAGCTGCATGTGTTTCAATGATCACAGGATCTTCTCCTTCCCAGAGGCTAGTGAAGCTTAGAAAGAAAAAAAAACGCACTCGCGATGAAATGTTCTCCGAGCTCATGCTGTCCTCCCACACTGACAGAGCACAGACGAATGCGTGGAGGCAAATAATGTCAGAGTGCAGGAAAGCACAAAATGACCGGGAGGAGAGGTGGAGGGCTGAAGAGAGTAAGTGGCGGGCTGAAGAGAGTAAGTGGCGGGCTGAAGACAGGGCTGAAGCTCAAATGTGGCGGCAGCGTGATGAGAGGAGGCAGGATTCAATGCTGAGGCTGCTAGAGGATCAAACTAATATTCTCGAACTTACGGCTGAGCTGCAGGAAAGGCAGCAGGAGCACAGACCGCCGCTACAGGCCCTGTGTAACCAACCGCCCTCCTCCCCAAGTTCCATAGTCTCCACACCCAGACGCCCAAGAACGCGGTGGGGGGGCCTCCGGCCAACCAGCCATTCCACCACAGAGGATTGCCCAAAAAAAAGAAGGCTGTCATTCAATAAATTTTAAAGTTGTAAACTTTTAAAGTGCTGTGCTTAAAGTGCTGTGTGGCATTTTCCTTCCCTCCTCCACCACCCCTCCTGGGATACCTTGGTAGTCATCCCCCTATTTGTGTGATGAATGAATAACGAATGCATGACTGTGAAGCAGCAATGACTTTATTGCCTCTGCAAGCAATGATTAAAGGGAGGAGGGGAGGGTGGTTAGCTTACAGGGAAGTAGAGTGAACCAAGGGGCGGGGGGTTTCATCAAGGAGAAACAAACAGAACTTTCACACCGTAGCCTGGCCAGTCATGAAACTGGTTTTCAAAGCTTCTCTGATGCGTACCGCGCCCTCCTGTGCTCTTCTAACTGCCCTGGTGTCTGGCTGCACGTAACCAGCAGCCAGGCGATTTGCCTCAACCTCCCACCCCGCCATAAACGTCTCCCCCTTACTCTCACAGATATTGTGGAGCACACAGCAAGCAGTAATAACAGTGGGAATATTGGTTTCGCTGAGGTCTAAGCGAGTCAGTAAACTGCGCCAGCGCGCCTTTAAACGTCCAAATGCACATTCTACCACCATTCTGCACTTGCTCAGCCTGTAGTTGAACAGCTCCTGACTACTGTCCAGGCTGCCTGTGTACGGCTTCATGAGCCATGGCATTAAGGGGTAGGCTGGGTCCCCAAGGATACATATAGGCATTTCAACATCCCCAACAGTTATTTTCTGGTCTGGGAATAAAGTCCCTTCCTGCAGCTTTTGAAACAGACCAGAGTTCCTGAAGATGCGAGCATCATGCACCTTTCCCGGCCATCCCACGTTGATGTTGGTGAAACGTCCCTTGTGATCCACCAGAGCTTGCAGCACTATCGAAAAGTACCCCTTGCGGTTTATGTACTCGGCGGCTTGGTGCTCCGGTGCCAAGATAGGGATATGGGTTCCGTCTATAGCCCCACCACAGTTAGGGAATCCCATTGCAGCAAAGCCATCCACTATGACCTGCACATTTCCCAGGGTCACTACCCTTGATATCAGCAGATCTTTGATTGCGTGGGCTACTTGCATCACAGCAGCCCCCACAGTAGATTTGCCCACTCCAAATTGATTCCCAACTGACCGGTAGCTGTCTGGCGTTGCAAGCTTCCACAGGGCTATCGCCACTCGCTTCTCAACTGTGAGGGCTGCTCTCATCTTGGTATTCATGCGCTTCAGGGCAGGGGAAAGCAAGTCACAAAGTTCCATGAAAGTGCCCCTACGCATGCGAAAGTTTCGCAGCCACTGGGAATCGTCCCAGACCTGCAACACTATGCGGTCCCACCAGTCTGTGCTTGTTTCCCGAGCCCAGAATCGGCGTTCCACAGCATGAACCTGCCCCATTAGCACCATGATGCATGCATTGTCAGGGCCCATGCTTTCAGAGAAATCTGTGTCCATGTCCTGATCACTCACGGGACCGCGCTGACGTCGCCTCCTCGCCCGGTATCGCGTTGCCATGTTCTGGTGCTGCATATACTGCTGGATAATGCGTGTGGTGGTTAATGTGCTCCTAATTGCCAAAGTGAGCTGAGCGGCCTCCATGCTTGCCTTGGTATGGCGTCCGCACAGAAAAAAGGCGCGGAACGATTGTCTGCCGTTGCTCTGACGGAGGGAGGGGCGACTGACGACACGGCTTACAGGGTTGGCTTCAGGGAGCTAAAATCAACAAAGGGTGTGCCTGTACATCAAGGAGTATTTCAGGCAGGACTGCACGGAGGGTTCCAATAAGAAATGGTGCACCTAAGTTATCGTTGTTATTGGAACAAGGAGGTTAGCCTGGCCTCTGATTGATACATGGTTAGATTTACCTCGCTGCACCTTCTCTGTGAGTGACTGCAGTGTGATCTAGACAGGGGAGGAGGCAAATGAGTACAAAACAAATCTGGTCTATTTCTTGTTCTGACCCACTCCATCTATCTTTTACATCTTTGGCTGGCAGCAGACGGTGCAGAAGGACTGCATGCCATCCACATCTCATGGCTGCTCGGCAGAAGATGGTACAGTACGACTGCTAGCCATCTTCATCTCTTGCCTGCCTGGCATAAGATGGTACAATACGACTGCTAGCAATCCTCATCTCTTGTCTGCCTGGCAGAAGATGGTACAGTATGACTGCTAGCAGTCCGTATCGCCTGCCCGCTCACCATAAGACGGTTCAATAGGACTGACTGCAGGACTAAAGAGAATGACCTGGTCAAGTCACTCCAAATTTAGTCCCTGCGCCCATGTCTGCCCAGGCGCTCCCAGCCGACGTGGCCAGGAGCACCTCGGACACGACGAGGACGACTACCAGTCGTATTGCACCGTCTGCTGCCAGAAGGTAATGGGTTGCTGCTACTGTGCAGCAAAGCCGTACCGCGTCTGCCAGCACCCAGGAGACATAGGGTGACGGTTACCTGAGCGGGCTCCATGCTTGCCGTGGTATGGCGTCTGCACAGGTAACTCAGGAAAAAAGGCGCGAAATGATTGTCTGCCCTTGCTTTCACGGGGGGAGGGAGGGAACGGGGGGCTGACGATATGTACCCAGAACCACCCGCGACAATGTTTTAGCCCCATCAGGCATTGGGATCTCAACCCAGAATTCCAATGGGCAGCGGAGACTGCGGGAACTGTGGGATAGCTACTCACAGTGCAACGCTCCGGAAGTCGACTCTAGCCTCGGTACTGTGGAAGCGTTCCGCCGAGTTAATGCACTTAATGCACTTAGAGCATTTTCTGTGGGGACACACACACTCGAATATATAAAACCGATTTCTAAAAAACCGACTTCTATAAATTCGACCTAATTTCGTAGTGTAGACATACCCTTTGAAATGTTTACTTACATGTAACGTTATTTAGTTATTCAAAACTATTGCCATGAAAAGAAACATTTAAAGAAAGCAAAGTAATTAAAGCCCCTATTTTGTATATTCAAACTGACATTCTCAAGACAAAAGTCAGCAGTTAAATTATTTAGGTATTTTGGCTTGTCTTTATACTATTAGTTAATTATTTTATTTATTATTTATTATTTATACACAACTTAAAAGAAGTGCAAATGATGACTGGTTAGCCTGTAGAGAAGATTGGTAATTAATATGTTTACTCAAATTATGCATTCAAAAATATTTATATCAAAGGAAAAACTTGGTCTAAAAAGAGAAAGGCTTAGCCTTTGGCAAGGAATACAATGTGGGACTAATTAAACAATAGGTATTCCAAAATCTCAAACAAAGACTTTTAATTTTCCCTTGTATCATGCCATTTTATGCTTATATTTTGTCTGTCCAAAATTGGATTTATTGGAGCAGAGGCTTATTCTGCTCTGAGCTCTTCCTAATAGTTTTTATTTTTTAACCATTATACTATTATCAACTTAATTTAGTATTTATTATATGCACTCTATTACATAATACTTGTATGATATTGTTTAGCTTATATGTATTCAGTGTTTTTGTAGCCCTGTTGGTCCCAGGACATTAGAGAAACAAGGTGAATGAGGTAATATCTTTTACTGGACCAACTTTTGTTTGTGAGAGAGACAAACTTCCAAGTTTATGCAGGGCTTTTCTGTGCAAGCTCAAAAGCTTGTCTCTCTCACTAACAGAAATTGGGTCTGTGACGAGGAGGATCGACCCAACATTGGTACGGCGGGGGTTAATCCTTCCCTCCTGCAGGGCATACTCCTGGCAGAGCCTCAGGGCAGGTATAAAAGCCTGCAGAGCTGCTCAGTCAGGGTGGACTGCTGGAGGGGAAGGAGGCTCATCACTCTCTCCAGCAGAAGAATGGCCCGCACACCAAGATGCAGAGGCCAGACATACCCAGATGCACTGCAGCGGGGAAGCAGAGGACGCTACAGATCTGGTTGAATCTGAGGAAGGGGTAGGAAGTGACATAGGGAGTCCTTAAAGGGGCACGGTGCGAAGACCATTCAGGCCAACATGTTTTGGGAGGATCCCCGCCGGACCACTGAGGAGGAGAACTTGCCTCAACCCAGGGCGGGGGTGGGACCAGGTCCACCTACCTCTCACACCCACCTTTTAAAGGGGATGGCCCCACACACAGTGAGTGGATTGGACTTTGTCCACTAGGGTGCATTACCCCACCAGAGGGGGGGAATTAGATGGACTCTGGCCACTGGGCTGTGCTGTCCTAGGGGCACGTTGTATGGATTCCGGCCGCCAGGCTGCATTACCCCACTAGGGAAGGGGAACGAGGTGTACTCTGGCCACTGGGCCACATTGTGCTAACTACAGAGGGATTCAGAACATCGACTTGGATGTAGAGGGTCTGGGTTACCTAACGCCCCCTTGACTTAAGGGGCTGTCGAGGTACTAGCCCTGCCACACATGGTGGAGAATGTGGGCACCAACCAGAGCCTGCTGGAAGGACCCACACCTACAGAATGGAGATGGAGAAGCTCCTGAAATGGCTGCTGGAAAACCAGCAGCAACAAGCTGCCCAACAACAGCAAGAGCAGGTGCAGCTGCTGGCTACCCAGGAACAACTACAGGCGGCACAACAAGAAGCACATAAACAGCTTATTTGGGAATTGGCTGTCCAGCAGCAAGTAAATCAGGACCGACTCTTCCAACAGGTGGCAACCTTGTTGAGGACAGCTCCAAGTCCTTCTTCCACCCCGGCCAGAGGGGGACTACTTGTGCGTGTTACAGAGATGGGGCCCGGGGATGATCCCGAGGCTTTCTTGGTGACTTTTGAGTGGGTAGCTACTGCCACTCAGTGGCCCCCTGAACACTGGGCTACTATTCTACTCAGCTTAGCGGGGCCAGCTCAGGCCGCTTACAGCAATCTTGACCCTCAGGAGGTGCTGCAATACAAGATGGTTAAGGTTGCTGTCCTAGACCAAACAGGCATCAACACGGAGACATACCAGCAGAGACTCCACCAAAAGAAATATCCACCAAGGGCCAAACTGCAGGCCGTGGCACAGTGGGTCCGCGACCTCTGTTGGAGGTAGCTAGAGCGGGAACGCTGGTTTGAAAACTGTTCAGGCCAGCGTGTTTTGGGAGGATCCTTGCCAGACCACTGGTGAAGAGAACTCGCCACCAACAAGGCCCTGGGTTGGGACCCGGGGTAGGGGGCGGGACTGGGTCCTCCTACCTCTCACACCTACCTTTTAAAGGGGGTGGCCCCACACTGTGAGTTGGTTGGACTTTGGCCGCTAGGGAGCATTACCCCACCAGAGGAGGGGAACTGGATGGACTCTGGCCATTGGGCCACGCTGCTCTAGGGGTGCGTTGTATGGATTCTGGCCACCAGGCAGCGTTACCCAACTAGGGAAGGGAAAGTACATGGACTCTGGCCCTTGGGCCACATTGTGCTAACTACAGAGGTGTTTAGAGCATGGACTTGGACATAGAGAGGCTGGGTTACCTACCGCCCCCTTGACTTAAGGGGCTGTCGAGGTACAAGCCCTGCCATAGGGTCCAATAAAAGATGTTACCTCTCCCACCTTGTCTTTCTAGGTATTTAACTTATGCATTGTTAAGTTGAAATGTAGTTTGTGGGCTTCACTGTTCACTCTGGCTGTGCTTGGGATAATAACAGAAAGGGAGGGGTGAAGAACAAGGTGACTTTAAGACACCTTGTGCCTGCTGAATTCTTTGCCTTGCTGGTGGCTCAGGGCTGTTCTAACTAAGCCCCCAAGAGACTGGTCCACAGATAAGAATAACTGGAGTGCAGCATGTCTTGGCCAAGAAACTAATGTGAAAGTATAATTAGTGTATTGTAGAATCACAGAATTGTAGTGTTGGAGAGGTCATCAAATCCAGGACCACATGTACCAAGATCAGTGGAGGGCAATCTGTGGAGCGCGGGCCGCGAGACAGCGTTTACATTGACCGTCTGCAGGCACGGCCACCCACAGCTCCCAGTGGCTGCGGTTCGCCATTCCTGGCCAAAGGGAGCTGTGGGAAGCTGTCCCCCAAAGTGCTTGCAACCCCTCTCACAAATTTTATATGCATACTGTCCACAATATTATCAAAGTCATTTATGAAAATATTGAATACTGCCAGACCCACCACTAACCCCACGGGGACCCTACTAGATATACTGCCCCAGTTTGATAGTGATCCATTGATAACTACACTTTGAGTATGGACTTTCAACCAGTAGTGCACCCACCTTATAGTAATTTCATCTGGACAATATTTCCATAGTTTGTGCATGACAATGTCATGTGGGACTGTGCCAAAAGCCTTACTAAAATCTAGATTTATCTACAGCTTTCCCCTGTCCACTAGGCCAATAATCCTGTCAAAGAAGGAAATTAGTGGGTTTGGAATGATTTGCTCTTGACAAATTCATGCTGACTATTCTTTGTAATGCTGTTAGCCTCTAGGTGTTTACAAATTGATTGTATCCAAGGATCAAAGTTAGGTTGATTGGTCAATAATTCCATGAATCTTCTTTGTTCTGTCTTTTAAAGATAGGTACTATGTTTGCCCTTCTCTGGGACTTCACTTGTCTTGTATGATTACTCAAAGATAATGGTTAACAGTTCTGAGATTGCTGCAGCTAGTTCCATAAATACCCTAGGATGAATTTCATCAGACCCTGCTGATTTGAATACACCTAATGTATCTAAATATTTATTCTTTTGTATTCTTCCTTTTGTAGGGTTGTTCTGTTGTATCTATACCATCTAGTTCCTGGAGGCCATTTCTCTTAGGTGTAATGCCCCTGTTATGCCAGTGGAGGCTGGAGCAATATAAAGGGGCCACAATGGAATAGGAACTGGGTCCTTTATGTATTTTAACGGAATCATAGCAGTTAGAGATGGAAAATATTTATTAGTGCATTTGATCTACTGCCCTGTCAACATAGGAGTATTTCTCTATATAGATTTTCTTAGTTCTTTGTTCAGTCTACTTTATAATGAGTCTCAGTGCAAGATTTCCACCATCCCTCTTAAAAGAATTTTAAGTAGTTCTTTTCTGATATTTATAGCTTACAATTACCCCTTCTATATTTCACCCCAATATTGCTCTTATATTTTCAGGATAGGCCACAGTACTTCGGGACATTGGTTCTGCAGATACATCAAGACAGAGTCCATAGACCTCCACACAAATAGTAGTAGGGAAGGGTTGCAGTCACTGTTTCCACTTGTAGAGTAGTTAGTACAAAGGTCCTGCAGAGGCCCTCTTTATAGTTCTGCAGTGTGCCTTTTGGTTGAAGGATTGAATTCCCCACCACCACCACCTGCCCTGCATGAAACCATGCTTATTTCTTGCACGAAGGGTTAAATTTACCTCTGTACAGAGGGCCAATAACAGGGCATATGCACCACTTCAATCCCAAATAAACCCTATTTGCGGGCTTAAATTGGATTTAAATGTTATACAACCAAGCCTTGGGCTGGCTTTCTGAATAGGACTGAATTTCATCATCCAAGTAAGTTCTATTGTGTACAGAAAAACTAGGTATAGCTTAGAACTATCCAGCAAATTTTATGTCATGTTACCAGATATGCCCTCTTACTAAACCTGCAATTATATTTTTGTGACTAGGAAGATAAACAGGAATTACAGTGCACATATTGAACACAGTAATGAGCACAAAAAAGATTTCCAGTCCCAGATTAACTTGATCTTTACCTTTGTTATGCAGTGTTTGCATACTTTATCTCTGCTTAATTATTCTGTTTCACGATTTTCATCACAGATTAGGACACAACCCAATGGAGAAAACAAACAACAATACATTTCAGGATGTAAGAGATCCTATAGTCCAGCAAGCCCTGAACAAGTTAAAATATTACCAAGCAATCTATTTTCTATAATAATAATAAAAAAAAACCTGCTAGGCAAATAGCACTGATTGAAAAAAGATTATCTTGGTCTCTGCAATTTCAGCTGTGTATTTGAGAAATACCTGATATTAATACTGTACTATATAGCACAGGCTTTTCCAAGTGAAAATAAATATCCCAATTTTTACTTTTAATCATATCATTAGTCTGGAAAAATGAAACTATAGCCTGTCAAAAATGTGATTATTTATTGTAGTCTAATAAGCAGATCAAAGGAGGAAAAAATGACACCACTCCTTGAGTGACTGTAATTCGTAAAACATTAGCACAAAAATACATCAAAATAACACTACTGTTTTGATTTAAATAAAAAGCAGCATTTTTTATCTCTTATTGTACTGAGGTATTGGAGGATTTTGATCCAAGTGCTTGAAGGTCTGTAGTAGTATGCCATGCATTATAGGCTGCTGCCTACGGGGATCACTTGAATGTTATGTTTGCAAAGCTTTTAAATTAAATTTATTTTTAAACTGATGCTGTGAAGGAACTCCATTCCCCACATGGGTCCTGTGGTGGGGCGGTGCCCCAACCCCTGAGAAGAAGGGCTGAACCAGGCCAGAGAGGCTGCACAGTCCAGCAGCAGCCAATCAGAGCAGGGGGAGAGGTAGCCAATCAGGGCCGGCCTAGGCCCTATATAAAGGCTGCCTAGCAAAGAGCAGGGTAGTCTCTTCCTGGTGGTCAAGGGAGGAGGTCTGGCTCCTGAGCTGAAAGGTAGCACCTTGGCCAGAGCAGTGCTGGGGAAGGGCAGAAGGAGCTGGGGAGCTCCAGCCAAGGAAAACCCCAGGCTGCTGGCCTAGCTACTAAGGGCTGGGCAGGTGCATAGGGCTGAAGGGGAAGTGGCCCAGGGACAATTGCAGGGCAAGGGGAGAGAAGGAGGGTAGAGAGGCTGCTGCTAGAAGGTTCCTGGGTTGGGACCCAGAGTAGGGGGTGGGCCTGGGTGCTTCCCCCTTGAGCTACACCTGGCTGAAGAGGATTGTGGCCTGATCCAGGCTGTGGCTGGCCCCTGTGACAAAGGGGCTAAACTCTGAGGCTGCAGCTGGTGGACTGCTGATAACACCAAACCCCTGGAAGGGGGCTAGACCGGAGCAGTGGGCACTGCCAGAGGGCAGTGTCCTGAAGAGGACTCTGCTGAGCGAGGAGCAATGTGGGTCCAGACACTAGCAGGGTGAGAGACGGATGGGATGCCACCAGCAGAGGGCACCCTGCAGAGGACAGAGCTAATTCCCAGATGTGCCAGCAGGAAGTGCTGCAGTGGTGAGTCCCAACCCCATCACAGGTCCCAATAAAACAAGCGGGGGGGAAAAAGGAAAGGAGAAATAAATTTAAAATTTCTGCATTGAGATAATATAAAAAATAATAGACTTACAAAATCAGTTTCTTCTCTGAAAGGAAGAGAAGTTTTCCAATGGGCTAAAAACATAAATAGGCCCAGGAAGGAGCAAGTTCACCTCCAAGTCACATACACCTGAAAGCAAACTATATACAGGCAAGGAAGGCCATTGCCTTAAAAAGGACATGTCAATTTTTGCAGTTCAATAAATTCTTCCAAATGGCCCTTCCACTGTAGATGACTGGCCTTAATCAAGGTGGCTCTGGGATGTGAGGAAGCCCTGTCTAGATCATTGGAGTTTTGGGAGTTCTAAGTAGGTAAATGAAGTTTATCAACACAGACAACAGAATAAGTTTTCCACAAACACTAACTTTCCAGTGTGCCACCACCCTGATGCAGGGACTCCTTTTAGTTCTGCCTCCAAGGCTCATTCTCTTCTTGGTCCCCATGCTGAGTCTCACATTTGCTGTAAAGCATGCTTGTCAGTTTGTAACAAGCCTACCAAACCCATCTCATATAGAGGATACCAAACAGCCGTTAAATGGGGTTAACTTCTAAAACTTGTTAGTCAAACTTCTAAAATTTGCTAGAGTCAAACTGGTGACCCAGAAATGAAAGACTTCGTCATTCTTTAGCAAAGCCCTGACGCATCTGGTTCCCCCAGTAAGGGCTAACTATAGGGGGATCCCCTGTATTATACTTTAAAACACTATGCTAATAAAATGTTATGAATGCAAAATCGAACTCCTGAAAGTTAGGAAATACCAGATTTGCGGTTAGCCATCCAACCTTAATTCAGCTTCATTGTGCATAT